GGGCTCCAGTGCCTTTGAACTAACAAATCCTTTCCTTCTCCATTTGAACTCTTTCAGGATGCTATAAAAACGTTTAATAGTGAGCTTCATGAAGCAAGAGGATGGGGGACCTGACAGGGAATGAATGTCGTCCTTACGTTGGGGGAAAGGCCGCATCCTATCCTGTCATGCAGAGAAAACCAGGTGCTGCAGACCCGAGGAGAGTCAAACAGTCCCCTACGCGCAACCCGTAGCCTCTAGCTAACCGCTCAGTTGGCAGGGCCTCTTGTGGAATTCAGTTCTTGGCCAGAAATCCCTGCCTTAGACTCTGGAAGGTTTGAGGGAGGCTCAGCAAACCTGGCGGCTGCTCTTCGGGTTTGGCAAACTCGAGAATTTTCCAGCGCCTTGTGTTCAGCGAAACCGAAAATGTGTTTGGCTAGAAACCTTTCTCTAATTTTTAAACCCCTGTGCATTTTTTATGTAAATTCAATCCACATGTTTTTGATTTATTTATATTTAACTCATCAAATCGAATTAGAAGCTACAATGATGAATGGGAACAATGCTGATTTCCAAGAAGATTTTTGAGCCCTTTTTCTTAGAACTAAATCACATTCTATACTTCCCCCACCCCGCCCCCCAACTGTTAAAACTACCAGACTGGGCTGGGTTTGAAATTTAGAACCCAAATGTGAAATAAAGATCCCTGCTTGGCAAAGACAGACCACAGCAAGGGAATGTTCTTAGGAAGTCACAGTTAGAAAGGATGGGAAGGCTGGGGTGGGGGCGGGCAGTGAAGATGGGAAGGGAGTCAGTTGTCCTTCATTTGATGGTCTAAATAGATTAACCTGACTTTCCTGGCTTCCAAGAGAAGCCCCCTGACCATTTCTATTGCATATGATTTTATCACTACTATTCAGGGAAAAGGGGTTTCTGCCCCCAAAATTACAGTTGGGGGTTCTCCGAACCTGTAATCTTCCTTCAATTCTCCATAGTAGCCAATTCAAGCCACTCCTCCTCTTCCCTTGTGACAGCATCCCCCCTCCCCTGCTTCCTGGCTCTGGATGAGGCCTCTCCATCTGGAAGCACTTAAAATGTACAACAATTATAATCTCGTGCAAGAGAATCTTAGGATGCCCACCACATACTCATTAAGCTAAATTATAGGTGCACAATTTTATTTTGCACAATTCTGTTTGGCCTAGGTTTACACACACGAAAGGCCGTTACAGTCTTTCCCAATTATCCTTTCTACTACACCATCATTTTCCACAACTCTAGTTCGAGGTCAACGGTATTTTTCTGAGAAACTCTTGGCCGGCTGAGGTCCCAAGACAAAGTTGCTGTCTTAGGTTCAAGATGAAGGTGCCCTCTTAAGAGCCCCATGAACTAGTAGTTGGTGGGCCCTAGGACACTGACCAGAAAAACTTCCCTGAGCTCAGCTTCTCTCTTCCCCAGACCCTAATCTAATTAGACAAGCCTGGACAAGCACTAGCTTGTTACTTAATAACTGTATAACTTTAAGGCGGTATTTTAATTTCCTGGGTCCCAATTTTCCAATCTGTAAAATGGGTATAATAACTATACTTAGCTCACAGAGTTGTTAGGATTAAATGAGATATTTCGTGTGAAAACCTTAGCAGTGTTGGATGAAGATAGGAAGACGCTGGTCAAAGGGTACAAAGTTTCAATTAGGAGGAATAAGTGTTAGAGATCTATTGTACAGCATGGTGACTACAGTTAATAATGTATTAATATTTTATATTTTTAAATTATTAACAGTATATTTTAGGCCAGGCACGGTGGCTCACGTCTGTAATCCTAGCACTCTGGGAGGCCGAGGTGGGTGGATCGCTCAAGGTCAGGAGTTCGAGACCAGCCTGAGCAAGAGCGAGACCCCATCTCTACTAAAAATAGAAAGAAATGATCTGGACAACTAAAAATATATATATAGAAAAAATTAGCCAGGCATAGTGCCTCATGCCTGTAGTTCCAGCTACTCGGGAGGCTGAGGCAGTAGGATCGCTTGAGCCCAGGAGTTTGAGGTTGCTGTGAGCTAGGCTGACGCCACGGCACTCTAGCCCGGGCAACACAGTGAGACTCCGTCTCAAAAAAAAAAAAAAAAAAAGTATATTTTAAAAGTTCTCACCACAAAAAAAGGTAAGTATGTGAGGTGATGGCTATGTTAATTAGCTTGAGTTAATCGTTCCATAGTGTAAACAAATATCAAAACATTACTTTGTTTTGATAAAATATATATGTACAATTATTATATGTTGATTAAAAATAATCAGTAGTTGTCTGGCCCAGACTAAGTAGTTAATAAACATTAGTTGTTATTATTATAATAACTTTTACACTTTATTCAACCCCACAACTTTACTAAGAGCATTTAAATTTTTGCAGAGGTTGAGTTTCCTTCTAAATCTCCCTATCCTCACCAACGCTGAAGCAACCAATACACTGCCCTACAAACAGTATCATTGCAGGTAGGTGAGATGAGGTTTCTGATCAACCAGCTGGGATTCTGACTCTGTCCTCAGGGGAGTCTTCCATGAAGGCCCAAGTTTTAAACCTACAGTCTCTTCCTGGGCTCAACAGTAGCAGAGCAATTGGAAGATCTAAAATCTAACTGCACAGAGATCATTTTCCTTCAAACCAAACTAAGTGGCTCTTCACTTTATGTAAAAAGTGTATGCATGTGTACATGGGGAAGGGAGGTAAGAAGGAGGTTTGCACTCTGCTTTAAGGAGCAAAATGGTTAATTAATGTTTCCTGAGACCCCCAGGGATACTTCTGGAAAGTAGAAAGGTGAAGACACCGTTTAACATGTCAGATAAATGCCTCTCCCCCAAGGGGAAGAATATAGAAGTCCATGAGTCCATATAGAAGCCTTTATGCTCAGTGGAGTTCAAAGAAAAGAGAGTCTAAGGTCCAGTATCTATTGCTTTCCTCCAATGAAAACTAGTTTTAGCAGTAGTTCACGGATCCTAGTGTTGGCCAGGATAAAGAGACCAGGAATCCACCAGCTTCTGAGAGGGACTTTTGGATGCCTTATGTAACAATGGTCCTCATCCTGCAGAACTGGTATGAAGGCTCAGAGAGAGGACATTTGCAAGCCGTGACAAATGGTAATTTTTATTTCTATCAAAACTGACCTTGTTTGAAATTTTGGGTGATATCGGGAAATGTGTGTATCTTCCACGCCTAATATTTACTAGAGACTTTATTCTCAGTGATCTCTTAGCCCCTGTGTCTAGATGTGTTTTGGATGCCAGCCCCAGCTCTCAAGGACTCTAAGGAAACTACCCCTGCTCACAGCCCTGCCTAGCTGGCTGTTTGTGCCCATAGAGGGTACTGAAGTGGACATATGCACTGAAGGGACAATCTAATCCATAGGCTGGGGAGTCACTTGTGGCCTAATATAAAAGGTGAGTTAGGCCAATCAGACTCCTTTCTAGACATCTGGTATTGGGAGAGTGAGAAAGCAGGTTGACTGGTAGCAGAGCCATACAGGATGAAGCTGGCTGCACCAACGGCAGAACTCCTGCGTGCAGACTGATAGACCTGCTGCCAAGATTCTCCAGGGCTGCCTTAACTCCAGAAGCACTCCCCCATAAAGCACTTTGGGGTGGGGAACCTGTGGCCTCAAGGCCACATGTGGCCCTCCGGATCCCCAAGTGTGGCCCCTAGACTGAATCCAAACTTTACAGAACAAATTTGGTCAAAAGGCCACCCTGAAGGATCCAGAAGACCCCGAGGCTGCAGGTTCCCTCCCGGTTTCTGACTCACTCCTTCCTGGTTCCCCTCGACTACCGAAATCAGAAAAGTTAAAGCTTTCACTTTCTCAACCTCCCTCATAGCTAGCAGGTCACGTGGCACAATGCTGGCCAAGAAGATGCAACTGAGTATCTGCTGGGACAGAGGCTTCCCTGCTTCCTGTCCTGTATGAAAATGTTAGGCTTGCAGCTGCTGCCACCACCTTGCAACCATGAAGGGAGAGTCAGAGAAACCCAGAGGTGCCACAGCCCCAACACATTTGAGGCGCTGAACCAACTCCAGCAGTCACCAGATTCCAGCTTTCTTGTTATGTGAGTAAAATCTACCCCTAAATGACTATCAGATTTTTCTGCAGCTTGGAAGCAAAATCTTTCCTAAACACACACACTGAAAGTCAACATAGAACTTGATTTTGTTGTATTATAAGAAATATGATTTTTTTAAACCAAATAATAGGATCAACTTGTTTTTAAATTCACTTCTCCAAACATCAGCTGAGTGATACGAGCTCTCCAGGTAATAAAAATCTAACAAGGGGATAAGGTATATACGAATAACTGTGATTTAAGGCAGACAGTGAAAACACCGTAAGAGGAAGTTGCTCTATGTATATTCTGGGTACGGAAAGACATTACTTCTAGCTGGGGGAGCGGGGTTCAGGGAAGTCTCCACAGGAAAAGCATTTGGGCCAAACTCTTGAGAAAAATAAGAATTTGGATGTTTGGAGATGGGGAGGAAGGGGCATTCTTGGCAAAAGGAATAGTTTAAGCAAATACAGGAGACTGAAGGTCATGTACAGGAACTGACAAGTTCATTCTGGCTGGCACAGAGGAACAAAGTGCAGATTTGAAAGCCAGACCAAATTATAGTAAGCCTTGAATGCCAAACGAAGGAGTCTGAGCTTTATTTTCCATGCGGGGGTTGGGGGGTGTGCTGCCATTGAAGGTTTCTGAGCACCCAGGAGTCAGAGTAGGTCTTCAGGAAAATTCACCTGACAGCAATATGGATGGACTGGAGGAGGCAGAGAATGCCACCGGGGGGCTCTGCAGCCCTCTGGGCAGGAAGTGGTAAGGGTATGAACCAGGATAGTCAGAGCGAGAAGGGAGTGGGAAAACGACAGAATGAGAGATAATACAGAGAAGTACCTGTAACACAAGCTGGTCATAGGGTGTGGGTCATGGGAGGAACAGTGTAGAAAATACTTTATTGTACAAAACATAAACAAAAACCTCATGTGGTACCTCTGGAGCTGAAGACAGGAATGGTTTTATGTAGATGTTGGAGTCATGCACCTTCAGGTCATGGTCCCCAAGTCCCCTGGTCACTCCAATAGTTGCCATTACCCGGGCCTAGGAGTATAAGCAGAGGGTCATCAGAAACACTCACACACACAGAGAAGGCATCCCACCACAGTATAGCAGCCACCGGCTAAGAGTGATGAAAAGATTTTCCAATTCCTCCTGCCCATCCTTCCATGCCTTTTGCCGCTCAGTTATGTGGTTTGCCATTACCAAGAAAATGCTCACCGAAATCACTTCTATACTTGAGTGGTTTTTCTACCCATTATCTGAAGCTTGATGGGTTGTTGCTGTTTCTTTTCAGCTTTCTTTTCTGGAGACTGGAGGGAAGGGTGTCCAATAAGCCAACTCCAGTGCATGTGTGATGTCTATAGCTACTGACATTAGTTCATACCAAATCCAATAGGATCAGTCCACCCACCCACCCACCTTTCTATCACATACTCACTCCACAAGTATTTGCTGAACACCAGTCCTAGGACAGACACTAGCAAAAATGTAAAAAGTCAGAGGCAGCTCTTGCCCCTTCAGAGCTCATCTATTATGTTTTATGGCTAGAGAAAAGAAGCCATTAGCCACACTGCAACCCATCCTGTTAACATCCCCACAAATTCCCACTGAGTGGAAAGGCACAGAATGTCACTGGTGCTGTAGCTCCATAGAGACATCAGGGCTGAGGCCTCATGTTTCCTCTAAACTGCCTTTTGAATGGTTTAAGAAAGCAACACTATTATACTAATGCCTACAGAGTCAGCCTAAATATCTCTTGGGATGCCACAGATTTGATGGATGGCATCGAGACACACAGAGGGATGGTGTGAAAGTCATTCTGGGTGGAAGGAAGCCCAGTGTCCTAACCTTAGGTCACCAGTAACACATCCTGTGTAGTGTCATGGTTCAAAGACCTGAGCTTGAATCCTCACTTGATTACTTGGGTAATGGGAGTAATTACCTCCTAGGGGCAAGGATGAAGTAAACAATATTCAGAAACATTATAGTCCAGCACATCGGCTTCATCTTCACCCCAGTCTTTCAAAAGGGCTGCGCACCGTGGAGCCAGTCTCAGCTCAGAAGGTGGGCAGAGCGCACGTTAAAGTAGAAACAAAACCATGATGTGTTTTTGAGGGCAAGAGTCAGCGGGGATGAAATGCAGACACAACATGTGCAGCCCGGGCCCTCTGGTCAGGCAGGCTGCAGAAACCCTCTGCTCTACAGGGAGGCAGGACTGGCTCCTTTCTAACTAAGAAGTGTTCATCTCTAAATGTGAATACCATAGTCCCCTGGGGCTTTCCTCTCTCCCTGCAATGGCGCCTTCTCTGGCTGGAGAAAGCATGTATCTGCATTTTAGTTCAAAGAAATTTGATGTTTCTGCTAGTGACTGAACTTGTTTACAAAGTATAAAGCATTACCCACGCAAGTCCTTAAAAACATTTGCGAAAATGAAATGGAAAGTAATTGCCACAAAAGTACTCTGAAACTTCTGGGTAGGTGTGTGCGGAGAACAAGAAAACCCCTGTTAAGGAGCTAGGCAGAACCCCATGAAATCATGGGGTCCCCACACAGGTCTGGTGTGCTACTTAGGTACAGGGCAAGCCTGCCAATAAAAGCAAAGTGGAGACACGTGGCTTTTAAAATATGCCACCAGGTACAATGACAGGACTTGCCACCTGCTCATCACAGGACTGTCAAGCCTTAATTAACTGAAATGCTTGAGGAACATGATGTTTTTGTCAATTAAACTTTTTGCTTAACTTAGAAAATCCTTGCTCCTTTAATTCTTACTGCTGATGAACTTCTCAGAAACATCAGTCCATTTTCCTCTTGTACTAAGGAAAGTTTACTGAACATAACCAAACAGCCTGTTTAATATTTTTGCATTTGTTGAAGATCTGCCACGTGTCGGGTGCCAGGCTGGACAGGTGCTAAGGATACAAAGACAACAGGATATGCTCCTGAGCTTACTGGAACTCACTGGGTATAGCAGAGTGTTACTGAGAACCGGGGCTGCAGGCGCAGGTCACTGGGCTGAATGGTACACATAAATGGCGCCCACTGTTCTGAAAATCATGTCCCTGTCATGATTCTGAACCAAAGATGGTGGTTTGGAAGGTGTTCATCTCCATGAATGGGGCATGTTGATTTAAAAACTGCTCTCCACGTAGGTCATATATTCCTGCTTTATTTCCCTCCATGAAATGCCTCCTTCCACTGAAATCACTTCTGGGCCACACAGAGCCCCAAACCCAATCCCGTGTGCCTGTGTCCAAGCATTCTCCATTCTCCATTCTCTCTCTCTCTCTCTCTCTCTCTCTCTCTCTCTCACTCACACACACATACACACACACACACGCACACACACTGCTCATGGAAGACATCCTTTGGTTGTCCTGTGAGTCATTTCTTCTTGATAAAAACTATCAAATGCTGAAAAAATATTCCAGCTGAAGATTCTTCTCAATGTGATCACATTTTTCACTTCTAATTGGAACTCTTCACACCGAGTTGAAATGTATTAGTGTTCTGAGGAAGGATGTAGTGATTCAGAAGGTGTTTGTTCTTCCTGGGAACCGGTTTCCCAGCTTCCTCATCCCCACACCAGGATCCAGCCTCCTCTGGGGCTCTGCCTGCAGACCACTGTGGGATCTACAGCCGTCCTCACTCTGACCAGGGCCCTGGGAGCTGGCGATGGTCTCTGCTATCTCTGCTTGGGCTCTGGATGATATGATCTTATAATTACAGTGAAGCTTTGGAGTCCCTTCCAAAGCAGACTTGCAAAGTCTGAGTTTTCCATGGTACAGTCTGCGCACACCAGAAGCAGCCAGAAAGCCACGGCTCCACCTTGGGGCCACCCCTCACTGGCCACATGATCTGCCTGAGCCTTTTGGACCTCTCGGTCCCAGCTGCCTTGTCTGCCAAATGGATATGATACAGCCAGCTTGACCTGCCTCCTCGTTTGGTGTCAAATATAAAATGAGATGACATATGTGCAAGTGGTCGCTTTTAAACACTGCAAAAAGTTATTCACACGGATTGGGAAGGGGGACATTATTTTCACCAAATTGACTTTGGTCCCTGTGCTCACTGCCCACCCCCACCACTCCTTAGACCCTCAAGACAGGAGGCCTGAAGGATGATGGATGGAATATGCTCTCAAGCTGTCAAGACTGCAGAATCAGGAACTGCTGAGTGGAGCATAGGGAATGCCACAGTCCACATGGAACAGCAGCAGCGGGACAGAGCCTTGTCCTCTCCACCCAGGGAAAGCACACGTGCCTACCTTCTTGCCTTCTCCATATATAAGGGGGAACTTCAGGTCCTCATCCTCAATGGTTTTGTACGCCCTGTAGGGGGATAAATAACATTTTTAAAAAAGGTTTGCACTCAATTAGTGACCCGTTAACCTGACACAGGCTGCTAGGGACTTCATTTTCCCTGCGACCCCAACCACACTGCCTACCTCCTTTATATAGAGTTATTCTCACTACAGAATTGTGTGTATTTTACCAAATGAGAAAATATCAAGTTTTATGTGCTTGAAGAGGGAGAAAATAAGTGGGCATATACATAATTAGCGACAAGAGGAGAGGGTCTCTGCCCTCACTGTCTGGGCAATAATGAAGTGACTCAGCAACAGCAACTGGATTCACATCATTAATCCAAAATTGTGAGAAACAGAGCTCAGAGATGGATGGAGTGTGAAACTGCTCCAAGACCCAGTTCTCACCTTCGGGGGTTGTTTACACCAAAGCAGCCTTGCATTGGGATGGCTAGGGGAGGAATCTTTAGAGCCTGTTTGACCTCAGGATGATATTCAAGGTTGGCAGAAATTCTTTGTTTCACAACAGCTTTTAAACGACCATGCGACGCACAGAAAGAAAATCCAGTTTATGCTTCAATGGTTTATTCTAGACATGATTGTTCGGATGCCACTGCCTACACAGCTGAGGCTGGCAAGGTCAAGGGGAGAGAGCAAATGAAGCCCGTGTCCTGTGATTTTGCTCATAAGCCAGTTAAAAGACAAACAAGTAAGCAAACATGGTGCCCAATTATTATCGGCATCATCCTAAGCACGTAGCTTCACCTTTTACAGTCTCAGTTTCTTCATCTGTAAAATGAGGATGATGCACAAGACACAAAGAGCTTAGTGCAGAGCCTGCACTCAGCAAGAGCCCAATAGTGGCAGCTGTTACTAATATTTAGCAGATAACTAACACTTGGCATACCAATTCCCCTTTCTGCAAAATGGGGCTAGCATTGCTCATTCACCACATCGAAGAAATTATTAGGAAGACTAAATAAAAGATGGGCCGCTTCTGCTGGATTAGGTGCTAGAAGTAGATGCTTTTCTAAAATAATGTCTCTTGAGTATGTGGAAAAAACTGATTTAAGAAACGGCCTGCCAGTCCTGAATACACCTAGGCAACTTGGGCGTGAACTTGAAATCAAACTTATGGAAGCTTCTGACATATAAAAGAATGCAACCCAATTTAAAAAGCGTGCAACCTCAACATGAAGCAGGTACATCCTTAGGGAGTTATCTGAGTAAGTTTTTCTTCCCAGGGAGTAGAGAATCAGTGAAGTTCTGGCACCATATGTGCCTGAGCCTGAGCTAGAGCTCAGCACTGCTTTCTGCATGGTGCTAGGATGTGCTCTCTGGCCCTCAGGATCCTCATTAATCAAGTAGGGAAAAATTGTGGCTCATTCGTGGGATTGCTGCAAGGATTAAAATGGGGTAATGAATGTGAAGAGCTTAAGAAGTGTTTAGCACAGTGCCTGGCACATGCTGAGATCTCAATAAATGCTCGTTGTTTCTGCTACCGCTGCCAAGCAAGCCCAGAGGTATTCTAGGAATTGAATTTTCAAAATAGGAACTGTTCTATTTCCTTCCCCCAAATCTACCAAATTAACATGAAGTGGAAATAGCCACTTTGATGTTGTATATACTCATATAAACTATTTTAAACACTGTGGTATGTAAGTCACTTGGGAAACAAATAAAGCTATCATTAGAACACAGCCCCAGCTTGGGGACTGAGTGAGTTTGTAGACCATTGGTTCTCAACCCTGGGTGCACACTGAATCATTTGGAAGGGCTTTAAAACACCCCAGTGCCCAGGCCACATCTCAGAGCACATAAATCAGAATCTCTAGGGGTGGGACTCAGGATTTTTAAAAAGCCTTCCAGGTGATTCCAATGTGCAGCCAAGGTTGAGCTCCACTGCTGTAGACCAAATGTCAGCTAGCTAATATTCGAAGTGAGTTATACAATAAGCATAAGCCCCTTATCAGCTTGATCCTTAAGATGAAAGGCTACATGACTCAAGGCAGAGTAGGGAAATGGCCTGAGAAAGGCCCCAAAACAACATGAACAGGGCTTGGGGAACCCCACGTGGAGCAGGAAGTGTGGAGAGTGAGAAGACAGGCCCAGAGAGGAGGCAGCAGTGGAGAGAGGGGCACAGGAGTCTGGAATTAAACAGGAGTCAGAAGGCAGCAGCTCTAGTAGCAATGACTGGAAATTACTTAGAGCCCACGAATGATAGGCTAAGAGCACTCTTAACAGTCTTGAAAAGGTAGTGAGAAAACTGCTCTCTGACTCCATCACAAACCCAGGTAATCAAATTCTCGTGGGGCAGAGAATTTCAGGAGCATGAAGTCCACATTCCCACAGCTCTGAAAGACACACACTCAGAGCTGTCACCCACAGGACCAAGGCCCAACTGCACATTTTAGTATTATATTTTAGTTTCTGTTTCCTTATCTTCAGGAACAAAAAATTAAAAATAGAAATGACAACCATGGAAAAGAAAGGTTTATTCTGTGTTGCCAATGTTGGTTTTCAATGAAATAGGAGCCCTCCTTCCCCATCAAATGACAAGTGGAATAACTATAAACAAAGAAAGAAAGAACAATACCCTCTCCCCATCCATCTTTCTGAATCCTAAGGGCAGTTCGTCATATAAAGGTAAGTGGACTTCCATCCATAGTTAGAAAGTCTTGAGCTAAGGCCAGGCGCAGTGGCTCACGCCTGTAATCCTAGCACTCTGGGAGGCCAAGGTGGGCGGATCGATTGAGCTTGGGAGTTCGAGACCAGCCTGAGCAAGAGCGAGACCCCATCTCTACTAAAAAGAGAAAGAAATTAATCGGACAACTAAAAATATATAGAAAAAAAATTAGCTGGGCATGGTGGTGCATGCCTGTAGTCCCAGCTACTCGGGAGGCTGAGGCAGAAGGATCGCTTGAGCCCAGGAGTGTGAAGTTGCTGTGAGCTAGGCTGACACCACGGCACTCACTCTAGCCCAGGCAACAGAGTGAGACTCTGTCTCAAAAAAAAAAAAAAGAAAGTCTTGAGCTATAAAGTATAAAATACAGTATCCAAAAGTTAAAACTGCAATTTGATTAGAGTCTGTATAAATTAATGATAGCTAACAGTAATTACAGCAGCTATGATTTACTAAGCAGCTTCTACATGCCAGACACTGGGCTTGGTGCTTACAGTGTCTAAAATCTCTCAAAGACCCTGCAATGCCTTGTCTTACAGATGCAGGAACTGAGGCATAGAGAGGTTAAGTTACTTTCCCAAGATCATATCATGCTAGTGGCCCTAAAATCAGACTCAGACTTTTCCAGAAAACATGCCAAAGAAATGTGATATCAGGGCTCAGCTTTGGGAATTTTTCATTCTAGTCGAAGAGTGTGAAATGAGACCATTACTGTCCACCTCTCATTGGGTGACCAGCAAACATTTGGTGAAGAAAAGGGGACTTCTGGCAAAAGAGGAAGGGGAATTTTCTGTGTGAGTGGCAAAAAAACCCAAAAGGTGATCATGTGGGGAGAAAACCAGTGGCTGCTCGACTACCGGGTTTACAGGGAAGAAGAGCATGAGGTCAGCAGAAAGGAAGGCCCACGCTCTCAGACCTGGTACTGCTTCCCAGGTCATCTCGCCTGCGGTCACGGAGACAACCAAGCCTCTCCCACAGAGAACAGACCTCCCTCAAACCTGTCCTCACAGTTTGAGGTGGGACACCCCAGTTCCTGCCCGCGTAGAAAGCCTGTCTGCTGTTTTATGTTATAGTCGATGTCCGGGCTGTAGGCCTGCGTTTATGCTTCCAGCTCGTCTTTGGCTTCCAGCTTTCTCATTTGGAGGTGGGGAGAGAGTAAGAGAGAGGCTGAAGCTTGACAGCTCTAAGACCTGCAGGTACTTTGGATTTGAGATTAATAGAGAATGTCTAGTCGAAAACTCCTTTACACCAGATCCTAAGATTTTCTGAAATCTGGATTAAATTCTTAAAAAATAACCCCCAAAACAGATCACTTACTAGTTTTATAACAATATAACTGACCAGAGATTATATTCAAATAATTACTTGTCACAAGATAACAAAACTGAAAGGCTTAGGAAAGATTTTTAGAATATCTCTCATTTGGGGTCCTTTATGAATATTTATGAGGCCCGTTGACAAAAGGATAAGATGAGGAGAAAAAGGAATGCTAAATTCTTGGCTCTCCCGAACTCAGAGGCATTTTCCTCAGAAGTTTCCATTAAACTTTTTTTTTTAAGTAATAATTCCCACTGTCACACTGATAATGCAAAGCTACAAAAAAAAAGCCACTATTGCTGTGGACCTACTGGGAGCAGGTCAGCATCGATGGGACTGAAAAGCCATTAGGTCAGCTGTACCCCAAGTGTGTCCACCTCTCACTGGGTGACCCCCAAACATCTGATGCCTGGTCTCTGCTCAATGGACTGCCACAGACAGTCACTGTCCTAGGAACTTAAAGTCAGCCCGTTCCACTGGAGAACAGCTCTGGGAAATTCTTTCTCCAGTTGGTGTGTTTGACCATCCTCTGGAAAAAGGTAAAATAAATCCAGACTCTCTTCTGCTTGAGAGCTCTGCAAATATTTGAAAAGAGCTATCTCAACGTTTCTTTTCCCTAGTTCTTTCAACTGTTCTTCACAGGGCCTGGGGGGCCATCCCTAACCACTCAAGGCACCATCATTCAACAAATATTTATTAACTGAGCACCAAACACTGTGGCAGGGCCCTCTGCGGGATTTCCAGCTTGCCAGCGTCCTCAAAGAATGGCACTTGGAACTGAGAACACTTAAGATGTAGTCCAGATAAGAATGAGATTATTACTTCTTTTGATTTGGACCCTGCACTTTCTAAAAATCAGTGAAGCTTCTATTTGCATTGTGTGCAAGCACACGTGTGTCTGTGAATGTGTGCTTTAGCCCATTTTAGCTCTGGGGCTATCTGTGAAGCACACATTTAAACTGAGTGAAAACAAATGAAAAACCCCAAAGAAAAACAAACAAACAAAAACAAACCCCATCCTGGAG